AATAGATCATTGGCACATTTAATGCACATTTTCTCTTAGGAATATGTAACATGTAAAAGGAAATAAGGCATCAATCTAATAGAATATTTTAGATTCATTTTCTTTGTCAAAGAACTCAATAAACTGTTGTGGTTATGAAATATTTAGCGTTTTTGCAATGTCTTTCATCTGGCATTTTTAGATATCTTGCTGGGAAACTGGACATCAAAGACAGCAGTGTAAGATTGACAAAATCTGTAGGGTCTACAGAGGGTCTGGTCATATTTCAGGATCCACGGAATGTCAATATTATGTGGATACATCCAACACTGGTGAAGTTGTTTTTTAATCCACTTTCTAAGTTCAATCCGTGTGATCTTAAAGGACTTGTAGAACTATTCTCAATTACATGAAATTGAAATTAAATTACATTCCTCAGGATCAAAGTTTATATATTTCGTGATTTTACCACTGTACCTTAACATTATTGATTCAAATAAAAAAAAAACCTCAATTTAAAATCCAAGTTAATTAGATAGCGACCATGTGACCATGTGACGTCAAAGGCGACAAATGTTGATCGTCTGTTTACATCAATCTTACTAAAATATATGCAATACAAATTAGTTTTTCTTTCTGCATTATGGACGCATGATGTCAGCAAGAAAAAAAATCTGCAAAATATGTAAACATGGTTACCGTAGATTTAATGTTAACAGCTATAATAGCGAGGGAGAAGCAGCAAAGAGGAAGAAACTTGCCCGTACAATAGAATTATCTGATTTGTCATCTTAGCACAGGGATTAACCTACACAAATTTAACATTTTGGAACTTTTAAAATATATGTTTGTCCCCCGCTTTAACTGAAAGTGGGGGATATTAATTTGGGTCTTTCTGTCCGTCTGTCCGTCCGTCCGTCGACTGTCCGTCTGTATTTCTGTCTGTGTGTAACACTTTCGTTTCCGCGCGATATCTCGAGAACACTTTGAGCTTTCGCAATGAAATTTTGTATAGCAACTCCCTATGGCCTAAGGAAGAACCCTATTGATTTTGAGATCAAGAGGTCAAGGTCAAAAATTCATAAATTCTGTCTGTTTTAACACTTCCGTTTCCTCGCAATTTCTCGCGAATTCCTTGAGCTTTTGCAATGAAATTTTAAACAACTCCCTGTGGCCTAAGGAAGACCCCTATCGATATTGAGGTCAATGGGTCAAAGTCCAAGGTCGTAAATTCATAAATTCCGTCTGTGTGTAACACTTTCGTTTCCTGGCGATATCTCAAGAAGGTTTTGAGCTTTTGCAATGAAATTTTGTACAATAACTCCCTATGGCCCCTCTCGCCCCTCTCAAAGTGTCCCCCTTTTTTTAATTTATTGTATTAAAAGTCGCTTGGCAGTTGGCAGTATTTTTAGCACAGGGGCATGTGGAGAGTTATTACGTATAATATAGGTTGTCGGCGGAGTTTATATTCTAATTACATCTATTAGAACTGTTTAATAAAGGCTAAATTAGACAACATGTATTGTGTAAAATTTTGACAATATTGTACGTGAATATAAACATTATGTGTGACCTAATGTTTGCATTTAATTTGCTGTATAATCAAGTGCCTCCGTGGGCTAGGGGTATGATGATTTGCTTAGCAAGCGAGAGGCTCGGGTTCAAATCCCGGACGATCCTTTTTTTATGTTTTTTTTATTTATTTACTACACGATACTATTCAACATGTGAAATGAAAAAGTTATGAAGTCTGGTGTGTACAAACCGTGTGATAAATATTCTATATATTAAAAAGAATCTTCTATACACATATTAAAGAATAAGCAATCAAATCTTTAAATCCATATTGTCATTTTTTTATTTGCTTCAACATACATGTATACATTTTATAATTCTACAAATCCAGGGTCAACCCCCCCCCCCCCCCCGAACTGCGCATGCTCTTCTTTTTTTTTTCCTTAAGCGGGGGACACAAATTCTCTGAATTAGCTTGTATTTAATAATCCTAATCAAATCATACTATAAATAAGCGACTGAATTATCGTTGAAATCAGAAGGAGTTCGGGGTAACAAGAATAAAACCTGTTATCATTCCAAAACCTCAGATCATGATGTAAATGTTTACTGCATACAATACAAAACATTGCAACATAATATTTTTCGATAGTCATATGTATTTGAACAGAATACGTAAATTGTTTCTCTGATGATTTCATTATAGGATATCTAACCAAGAGGCCCATGGGCCACAAAGCTCACCTGAGTCAATATTTTTTCTATTATAATTTCCTTTTTAAAACTTTAATCCCTATTGTGAGTCCATCATAGCCCCAGGTGTCATGATTTAAAAGATATAGCCCCACCCTAACCCTTGGGGTCATGATTTGAACAAACTGGAATCTACACTACCTCAAGATACTTTCATATCAATGTGAATATACATGGCTTTGAATTTCTTAAGAAAAAGATTTCAACGATTTTTTTTTCTAGTATACATCCATACGTTTAACTCTAGTTGTGCAGTGTGACCCCAACCTACACTAGGGGGTCATAATTTGAACAAACTTGAATAAACACTAACTGAGGATGCTTCCATATTAAAGGGTTTTTATCACGTATCTAAATTTCTTAAAAATGAAACGCTATTATATTCTTGAAACATATAATTATCGTTTAATTATGAAATAATGTTGAAAAAAGCCGTAATTAGACGATAAAACGCCCGTAATATAGGGTCCTCGGAGTAAAAATCTCCAGTAATTAGATAGGGGTCACGTGGTACTAAAACGTCATAGGTGTCAATGGTCAATAGAATTGGTAAAGCTTATCGTAAGAAAAAATATATTGAATAGATTTTTACGCTAAATTAATAGAAAACCCAATATGCCCGGTTGAAATTTTGACATCGACTATATTCCTTTGATTATGGACGGTCAATCTTTTATGTATGAACGTCTAGCAGAGAGAAATAATCAGGAAATATGCCGACAATTGGAGAGGTCACCGAAGACGAAGCCGTTGACAACTTGGGACTTCGACTAAATAGAACAAATTACTAGAGTTTAACTTCGTAAACATTTATAAATATGGGAATTTTAAATTCTCCTTCATTATTATTTTAATTAATTATATATAAATAAATCCTGTATATCTTCTATCTGTTCTAGCAGTGAATATCATGTACTAGAAATGACACTTCTTCAATGGCGCTGTACGCCATTATTACGAAGTTCACAACATTCCTACTAGATTCTGTGCGACTTTTAAAAAATGCATGTTTGTCATTTATTATTTTTTTTAAGGTATCTTTCCTTAAAATATTTTATAGGACAGAAAAAATAATTCCTGATCGATCGGCATAAGCGACTTGCAGAAAAAGGCCCCCCTTTCATCTCTCGAACAGACCAGGAAATGTGAGGGAAAAATTCTTCCTAAAACCTTTCTTGTGCAAATTTGTGCATCCTAACGCCATAAATTATACATTACTAGCTGTCAATTATCCAATTATCACTAAATTATTTTCTAACAGGTTTAATAGACACAACAAATGAGCCCTTTTGTATACACAATGAGTACTTCGCTTGACCAGTATTGACACCTATGACGTCAGAGCAATGGCGCGTAACATCGGCGATCAAAATATGCGTAATGAGAAATTCAAACTTTGAATCGCTGAAACATCAAAAATATTCTAGCAAAGATTTTTAAATATATGATTTTAATAGCTTGTAAACTTCGTCATATCAAAAAATTTTGAGACGTGATAAAAACCCTTTAATATAACTAGTACTATTCATGGGTTTGCTGTTTTTTAGAAAAAGATGTTTAAAGATTTTTTCATATATTATCCTATGTAAAACTTTGATCCCCAGTCATGGCAATACCCTACCCACGGGGGATCAAAATTTGAATAAATTTGAATCTACCCTATGTTAAGAAGATTTCAACTAAGTGTCAACTATTTGGTCCAGAATTTCTTGAGAAGAAGATTTTTAAAAGATACCACCAAATTTTCACTATTTCTGAATTATCTCCCTTTAAAAGAAGGCATGGCCTGCATTTAAACAGATTTGGATCCCCTTTACCCAATGATACTTCTTGGAAAAATGGGTTGAAATTCGCCCAGTGGTTCTGGAGAAGGAGTTGAAAATGTGAAAAGTTTCCGGACAGACGGTCAGACAGACTGACTACAGACAAAATGTGAACAGAAAAGCTCAATTGAGCTTTCAGCTCAGGTGAGCTAAAAGAAACGTATAGATCCCCAAAAGGACTACCTTATTGGTAGAAAATTAATCATCCTGAAAAGTTTAGACAAACATATTAAGTCACAATAAAAGACCATTTATTTATATATTTTTTGTCAAAGTAAAACAACAAAGTCCGCAATATTACTCATTATGATATATAGATCAATTGTAAGAAAATAAATACTTAATAAGTGATGAATAACAAATGTAACGTCATTCATCGTTATCTTTTTAAGTATAAGTAATAAAAAAATAACCAATGATGAATTAACCCTAAAAAAATTTTTATCATTTGTCATAAGACCACCTATTAGCAATGAAAAACACACAGGCAAAAGCTTTCTTTATGGATCAAATGAATTCAAAGTACTGTCCAACATGCAATATCATAAGATACATAAAGTAAATCTAAGGGAGGAAACTGAGAAATGTAATACTGTTATTCGAACTAATTCATAAGTGACAGAAATAAATAATTAATTTCCTGATGTTCATCAAAATATTTAAGTACACTTTGTGACTGAAGCATTAAAACATAATGTCAGCAACTGCTTAGACCTGAGTAAATCAATTGTAAAATATATGATGTACAATAACTGAAGTAAAAAAAATTAAACACAGGTAAAAAGAAAGTTATCACGTGAATTTATTTAAAAAGCATATATTTAAACAATAGCGTTTTCTTTGAATTAACAGTTTCAACAACTGTAGATAAAATATCTTAATTATGTAATTTTTCTGCAATGGTTGAAAGCATTACTCCACGTATTAACAAAAAAGACATTTTGTTCAATAACAGCATAAATTATTCGTATAAACTTTGTGTCATTACGTAAAAAAGCATATGTTTGATTTGTAAGTTACAGTGAAATGATAGTAGAGTCCACTTCTTCAGAGATCTTTCATATGATGGCTTTCAAATACCAGTTCTAACTCCTTTAGAGTTAACTGAGACTCTATCCATTGATTATCGATTGATTAACGGGGATAGGTTTTTCATAAGAAATAGAGAAAATATTCATTGGATGTAAATTTTTCATGAAATAACTGGTTGGTGAATCGACTAAGAAGTCAGATGGTATGGCTTGCAGATCATGGTTATCTAAACGCTTCGAGATATGGTCAAACATGTTCAGATATATCGTGTCCAATTGTGTGCACCAGACCATGACGGAGGGTGAAGAATTTTTCTCTGCTAATACTCTTCTTATCCAACTCTTCTCCAAGCTTTGTCCGGGGTTCCAAATAAAACTGTAAATATAAACATAAGAGTTATTTTCAAATAGGTTCATTCAGAAATCTAATAGATTGGTCACAGTAATTATTGAAATAAACTTAGTGATGGTTACCAACATCAAAATTAGACCAAATAAATTACAAAATAAGAGTTTGAAATAAGTGCGTAATGGACCTCTCGTGTCATCTTGAACGTTCCCCAATGTATACCCAAGGCACTTTTTGCTCTGACATCTTCAAATATTTTCACAGCCTCTTCCGGGTCTACATGCATAGGTCTCATAAACCACCTACATAGAAAAAAATTCCCATCGTCACAAAAATACCAGGAGAGAGAGAGAGAGAGAGCAGTTAAGACTGTAAGGCATTGCGATACCTGCTTACATGATATTAGAGTGCAACTTATGTATATTATTTTTCTTAACCCAAGGATAATATCCTCATCAGCTATTTTTTTCAGTTTACCTTGGATAATAGGCCCCTATTGGAATAGCAGCAAAATCTACAGGTCCGTACTTTCTTCCGATCTGTTTAAAACCACTACAGTAGCCTGTGTCTCCGGCAAAGTAGAAACTCTTCTTTGGTCCCTTGACCATCCAACTACACCAAAGAGCCTGTAAGATTACCAAAAGAGTATCATTTTTAAAACAATAATATTTTACTAGCAGGTAGGATTTTATAGGAAGGTTTGCTGTTGGGTACCATATATTAAGCAATTTATGATGAATAATACCATTCACAATTTTTCCGAAAGCTTTATTATATTTTTTTTCTTGTTTATGGTACCCATACTTCGGGAAATTTAATTGTTCAACCACAGTTTGGCGTTTACTTTTTTACTTGTCTTTTTGCCTTATACTTTTATTTTCCTTATCTCACAGTTTACCTTCATAGAATCCCATAATGTGCGTTCACATCGATGTTGACATGGAACGCTGACAAACTTAAAGTCTGGTCTTCCGGGTAGCTCTGCTTCATCCCACCATGACAATTCAATCACCTTCTTACAACCTGCATTCAACATCCATTCCTTCGTTCCTGCCGCTACAAACCACGTGATCTTATCACTGAATTTCGAATTGAGGCTTTGCACACTGCCATAGTCTAAGTGATCATAGTGGTTATGACTGATAATAACAGCGTCTATATGTGGCAGATCTTCTATTTTACAGGGTGGAGGACGATACCTTTTCGGTCCTATAAACTGTACAGGGGAGCACCTGTCACGGAATATTGGATCGGCAAGAATAGTGACCCCATCCATCTGTACCAACACACTGGCATGTCCTATCCACATTATTTGAATCTCTGATTGTGGTGGGTTCCGTAATTTTTCAAAATCAGGGGTTTCCACTGGTAAGGTTTTATCCAACTCCTTTTGTAAAATTTTAAACAAATACATTTTTCATTGTTGCAGGTACCAGTGCAACATTTAATGCGTGTATATTTTTTAACACTTCCTAAGCAAAGAATTGATGTTCAAATTGTTTTTTTTTTCATTGCTAGGTAGATTCCATTTATACTTACTGAATGTGAAATAAAGATTACATTGTCGTTTTTAAAATACTAGTGCGTAAATTGCCTTTTTCCTTTAGGAAGATCTAAACTCTGCACACTAAAGAATTCTAATTTCAAGAAACTTTTAAGTTAGAGCGACATGCTCATAAATGTCAACTTTTTTGAAATTTCACAATTTGGTGACTTTTTAAAATAACTTTCACGTACTTGGCTGGAAAAGAAATCTCTAGGGCAGAAATACAAAAAATATGAAAAAAAATATGATAATGTGGCGTTTTTCCAACAAATTCCAATAGGGTGCAACAGTAAAATTTGACAACTTTTGAGATGGTCGCATAAGAAATCGGGACGGTAAACATTCGATTTTTTAATCTTAAAACAATAAATATAATAGTAAAATTACTTCAAGAAAATTTATCAAAATCTCTAGGGTAGAAATAATTAGACTCGGCCTCGTTAAGGGAGTAACAGTGATTCCTGTTAATTTATATTCTGTTGTTTTATTTAAAAAAAAAAAGAATTTTACATTTTTTCTGCTAAACTATGTTCAAAATTCGCTGGATAAACTTAGTATGATCAACTATTCATCAGAGGACCCCCCCCTTTCCAGGAAAAAAAATCATTAGTTGGCAGAGCTTCCCTAACATTTCATAATCACAGCTTACTACTTCAAATTTTCATTCACATTCGCAGTCAGCTTGAAATTAGTACAGACCCTCTGATTTGGAATTTTGCTGAAATCCTCACTTCTCATCAGTTTGAAGATGCTTCCAGACCCAGATGTATTTTCCCATGTGTCAAAGGGATTTTCATATCTTCCGTTTTTGTATATGGGCCGAATCAGATCTTCATCTGTACTATCCATTGTTTTCTGAAAAGAAAACAAACACAAAATTCAGGCTATTTATAATCAAGATTGCAAAATCCATAATATAGTTGGATATCTTCGCTTTAAATTCGTCTGATGAAAAATTAATTTGACCATCTGATAAAGAAAATATTGTCTTGCAACCATTCCTTAGCCATTTAAACCTTTATCCAAAAAAAAAAAATCTGCAATAAACCTCATGAATGTGATAAAGCACCTAGTAATGAGACTTAAAATTAATTTTATGTGCTAGGTGTGTTCTGTATCTTATTTCTCATCATTACAAAGATATACATGTATCAATAATGCCATGCTTTTCGATTATAGCAAAGTTATTGCATATCAAAATTTTTAAAAATCAAATTTTAAAAAAATCTAAATTCACTTAAGAATAATGAAGGATTAATGTTTAAGGAAATTATTGATTTTCTACAATTTTCCAAGTTAGATCTTATCAAACTCAGTCTAAAAGTTCAAATTGCATTGTTTCTTATTTTGATAAATGTGGGATTTCCACTTATTTTGATTGATTATATATTATTTTTATGCAACAAAGCCTTCATCGAGGAGAAAAGAAACAAACAACAGATTGATAGTCATATCCAATCGCAAACCTTTAGAAGTACTTTTCATCTCATTGTTTTCTTCAATGATTTTTACCTAACTTACATTTTTTTGAAATTCTACCCCAAAGCTTCCATATTTACAAACATAGATTTACTATTATAGGACATTACTAGGCATCGAAAACCGTTGTGGAATATGAAAAAAATGTCCAGTGAATAAAATCAACAGATTAAAGGATAAACAAGCGAATATAAAATACACGCTGTTTCAACATGCTTAATATCTAAAGGGAAACGCCTTCGAAAACATTAGGGCATCAATGACAACGCTCATGAATAGCATCCTTTCGGTTTTTCAAAAAAGAGAAAAAAATATAATTTCTTTTAGGAATATATAAAATATGTACACATGTGCAGAACGCGTAAATAGAAATAGTGCCTGAAACGGAGCCTGACCTCTTTATGTGTGTTAATTAATATAACGGCGCTCCATAGTTACAACTCATCCATGCCAAAGTAAACAAAAGTAGAATGTCATGCGGTGTAATTACACAGTATTTCATTAGTTAACGTGAAATATGCTATTGACATCTGAAAAATAATATCCGTTATTTTTATTTTTATTACTTCATGACCTACAAAGGATAATTATATAATTAGGTCTACATTCATTGACTCTTCTCTAGGCACATATAAAATCATTATATATCATTTGTATATATTTACCCATTTTCTTACAGGATTTTTGATATGCAGATCATATATATACGATTAATATTTGCTGTTTGTCATACATTTCATACAGATAGATCATGAAGAAAAATGAAGATTATATTAACTATTAATTGATGATCTTTAGATCTATCTCTTTACATATTCAGTACTCTAACAGCAATGAAATCGTCTTACCTGTTGTTAATTAATAAAGATGTCAATCACTTGAAATATCACTGAAATCCTCCGTGTTTAATTAATGTCATAACAACATCAA